GATTAGAGAGTTGCTGTACCACAATGAATTGGTCTACTTTCAGCCATGTCGAGAGCTAGCTTATGAGTAAGAACCAATGGTACTGAAGGAAAAAATTCAAGCTGCACTGAAAGCATTATCCAAAAGCAAGGGTCCAGGAAGTAGTGGTATAACCTTTGAACTATTTCAGCAAGCTGATGAGGTGCTGGAAGTATACATTTGTGCCAAGAAATTTGGAAAACAGCTACTTGGACAACTGGCTGGAAGAGATCCGTATTTGTACCCATTCCAAAGAAAGATGACCCAACAGAATGCTCCAATTATACAACAGTTTCACTGCTATCACGAGCAAGTAACTTCTTACTGAGAATCATCCAACAAAGGTTGCAGCAGTACAATGACAGGGAGCTGTCAGACATTCAGGCCAGGCTCAGAACAGGATGGAGAACAAGGGAGATCATTGCTGATGTCAGGTGAATCTTAGATGACAGCAGAGAACACCAGAAAGATGCTGACAATGCAGAAAGCATTCAACTGTGAATCATAATGAACTACAGATAACCATAAGAAGCATGTGAATTCTAGAACACTTCATGGCGCTCATGTGGAACTTTTCCATGATCAAGAGGCAGTTCTACAAACATAACAAGGGAATACTGCATGGTTTAAAGTTAGGGTTATATCCTCTCACCATACTTAGTCAACTTGTATGCTGAGCACAGCTGGATTATAGGAAAAGAATGTGGCATCGGGATTGGCAGAAAGCTTATTAACAACCTGCAATACCCAGATGACCCAACCTTACTTGCTGAAAATGTGAAGTAATTGAAGTACCTGGTAATGGAGATCAAGGATTGCATTGAACTTCATTATGGGTTACAACTCAATTAAAGAACACAAAAACCCTCACCATTGGATCAATATGTAGCATCATGATAAATGGAGAAAACATTGACGTCAAGGATTTCGTCTTGTATCTACGATCAAGGGTCATGAAGCAGAAGTCACGAGATCAACTGAGGGGAAGCTCTGAGATAGATGTGGTGGTGATTGTACAACTCCCCTTGCTGTGATTGAATGATGGAACTGTTCAATTATATGATATGTGAATTATATGCCAATACAGTTGTTGGGGGGAAAAAGAGAGATCGACAGATGCATTGCATTGAGTAAATCTCTTGCACAAGACATCTTCTGAGCACTGAAAAGCAAAGATGTTATTTTGAGGATTGAGGTGGCCTTGATCCAATCCATGGCATTTTCCATTGTCTCGTGTGCATGTAGAAGTTGGACATTGAATAAGAAAGACCAAAAAGGAACCAATGCCTTGAATTATGATGCTGGCAAAGAATACTAAAAACACCACGGAGGGAAATGAATGTACAAATGCGCTTTACACAATTGATGTATGCATCGATTGTGATAACAGTTGTATGAGCTCCTAATAAAATGATTTTTAAAAACACCATGGACTACCAAAAGAACAAACAGATCTATCTCAGAAGAAGTACAGCTGGAATGCTCCTTAGAGCCAAGGGTGAGAAGACTGTCTCACATACTTTATACTTTGTATGTTATCAGACGAGACCAGTCCCTGGAGAAGGACAAAGTATAGTGGCAGTCAAGAAGGGGAAGGCCCGCAACACAATGGATTGACATTGTGGCTGCAACAGTAGGGTCAAGGATGGGAACAATTGTGAGGATGGTGCAGGACAGAGCAGTGTTTTTGTTCTGTTGTACCTAAGGTCACTATCAGTCACAACAAATCATTGTGGAAGTCAAAAGCCTCACCTTCCTCCTGTGGAGCTGCTGATGGGTTTGAGCTGCTGACCTTGTAGCTAGGAGGCCAACATGTAATTCACTGTGCCACCAGGGTTCCCTTTCCAGGCTACCAGAAGGAGCTTATCAAACCATACATAAGATCTTGTATTCCCAGACCATACTCACCCTGCTTCATTATGCTCCAGGACAAACTGGCTTCCTATCTCACCAAGTCACTAATCAGGGTTTTTACACTTCCTGTTTCCATTATCTGGAATGGCAAGTAACCTAAAGTGTCTGAGACACCCCTTTCCTGTCGGTGCTATAAGGAAACTATCTTGTCTATCTTTCATATAAGAGCTGAGAAGGGACCCGGGACAGGCCAATGATCTTATATGAAGTCACCTCAATGACTGTGGTACCAGGATTCTCCAGTGTCAGAAATTGCCCTCATTATAGAAGACTTTAAGGAGTCCTGCTAAGGAGCACTGTGTGTTAGGCCTTGAGCTGCTAACCTCAAGGTTGGCAGTTCAAACTCACCTACCAGTCTACCTTTAAAAATAAAACTATCTGCTCCCATAAAAGTTTACAGCCTCAGAACATCATAGGGTCACTATGTATCCATGGATTTGGTTTGGGATTTTAAAGAAGACTTTTTAAGAGTCCGTGGATGGTGCAAATGGTCAATGCACTCAGGTACTAACTGAAAGGTTGGAAGTTTTAGTCTACATGAAAGCACCTTGGAATAAAGGCCTGGCAATCAACTTCTGAAAAATCAGCTATTGAAAAACCCAATGGAGCACAACTCTACTCTGGCACATGTGGAATATCCATGAGTGGGGGTCAAGTCATTGGCAGATGATAAGAAGCCTTTAAGGTGGTAAATAATTTACTCCCTTAAAAAGATAATCAAC